CGGCGCCGAGCAGTTTTGGCTGCTGCTGCCTGCCTGGAGCTTGCGCACTGGGCAGCCCACAGGTGGCAGTGGTAAACACTGCCTGGTGCGGCAAGTGGAGGGGCCGCAGCTGCTGCCATGTTGCAGCCCCGACGGGGGAGCCCGGAGCTGGCACAGAGCCCAGGCTGGCAGCAGGTCTGGGTTACAAGCTGGTGCTGAGTGCGGGGGTGGAGAAGCAGCCCCTTGCCCAACCCAACCCAACCCAAAGCCCTGTGCTGCAGCCACTCACAGCCTGCCTGGGGCTGCTTGTGCCTGCTCTGGACAACCCCGCACAGGCTGCAAGCAGCTGCAGCAGGGAGCGCTGGCTACAGGACAGGGCAGGGCCACTTTCCTCCATGCCAGAAAGGAGCAGGGAAGGAGCCTGGGGAAATGGTCATTTCTTGCCTGATTCGGATGAAAATTGCAGGGCATGAAGCCTGCCAAGTTGCAAGGAGGTAAGTGCAGCAGTTTCTGTGAAACTGCACCTCGAATTGTTCAAAGTAAAACTTGTGTCACCTGTGTGTGTTAAGGCAGAGCAGGATGAAAAAAGCAGGGATGGTAGCCCCTTCTGAGGCCATGAAGCCTGGTAGGTTTCAAGGAGATAGGTGCAGGCAGGGGTTTCTGTGAAACTGCACCTCAAACTGTTCAAAGCAAAACTCACGACGTGTGACTTTTGTGTGTGTGTTAAGGCACAATGGGGTGAAAACAGCAAGGACGGTAGACCCTTCTGAGATCATGAATCCCGCCAAATTTCAAGGAGATAGGTGCAGCAGTTTCTGTGAAACTGCACCTCAAACTGTTCAAAGCAAAACTTATGACGCACACGACTGTGTGTGTGTTAAGGTGGGATGGTTTGTAAATTCAAATAAGCACCAAACCTCACTAACCTTATCACCAGAAGTAAACTTCCTACAGCCCAAAACACACCAAATGGATCCAGACTATGCCATGACAAGAAATGCAAAACTTACCAACATATCTCTGGTACCCCCACAATCACCCTACAACAGAACCATTACCATTCCTGCATCTTACAGCTGCACCTCCAGAAACATATATCTTATCCAGTGCAGCAAATGCCTTGATGGAAAATACTTAGGAGACACCAAGCAATGACTGCGCACCAGAATGAATGCACAACAGAAATCTATTACACACCAGAAATCTGTGGGGGCACAGTTTTCACAAGAAAGCCACTCTGTCTCCAATCTCACAGGCCCAATCCTCAAAGGGAATTTTCAAACCACTTCTCACAGACAAGCATACGAACTTCACTTAATCAACCTCCTAAATACAGAAATTCATGGACTCAATATAGAAAGACATTGGATTTATGACACACTATAACCTGCCCAACATCTGATTCCCTAGGTACCTCTCCACTTTTACCGGCTAAAACCCCCTCCCACCCTGTCACTCACCCCAACCCCTCAATTTACATTTTCACTGACTGGCTTTCTTGCCTGCATTGCATGCCAGCCTCTGGCTTCTTTACTATTCCTTCCATCCAGGAAGAGCGCACACACCAACTGCAGATGTTTCCTCAGCCTGATCAAGGGTTTTAAACATGAAAACTTGGTAAGCTTTTAGGGTAAGCATTTAGGCCTCTGATGTCTAGGGGTGACATCCATTCCGCAACTCCATACCATCCCTACACTGCGGCCCATGCCTCACAGATGGCATCCCAGGCAGCTAAGCTCTCCTGGAACCTCTCAATTCCACTGTAATCAGCAAGCCTCAGACCTCTCAAAGATCTTACAGGTCTGGCCTTTCCCTAGCCAGGACTGTGCATGCGTGTGGTGGCTGGAGGTTATAAGGCACCTCCTAACAGCCTTTCACCAGGGAGGTTTGCGGTCCTGGCATTTCTTCGGGGCTGCTGTGCCACTGGCAGTCCCAACAGGCCTCCAACCCTGGCAGGGTGCATTTTTAGGTCATGCACAGGACCTGGGGTCTCCTTCTTCCCCATAGCCCCAGTCCATACCTCTAAGTTCATCCTGGCATGAAAGTTCAGCAGAGAGATGCTCTTCCCCTGCTGGCTGGTGATATAGTGAGTGCTGCCTCCAGCTCTGAGAGTGGGGCATTAAATGGTTAAAAAAAATAAAACATAAAATAGGTTTGGACAGAGTGCGGAGGGTTGCATTCACTCTGTCTGCACGTGGAGCTTGGGGAACCCCAACAGTGGAAGGTTTACCTTCAGGAACACCAGCTGCTTCACCAAATCAGGATCCAAGGAGGTGCGGTGGGATGTCACAACAACCCCAGCAATGCTGAACACCCTCTTGCTCAGAACACTGGTTGGTGGACAGGTGTTCCCGGGCAACCATGGCCAGATCCTGCCACATCTGGCTGCGGCTTGCTCAGTAGGCCAAAGGGTCACAGAGCAACGGGGTTCCACGTCCTCAGCGAGATAGGTAGCCACTGAAGCCTCCGCACTACCTGCCCAATACTGGGGTCTGGTGCCTCTGGACCCCATGGAAGCCATGCCCTTGGCCCACATTGGCAGCACCTGTGGTGGAAGAGACTGGCTGGTGGATGGAGTGCTGGCACGGGACAGTGGTTCCTCCTCTTCCACGTCCTCCTGCCTCTGCCATTCTGCCTCCCTGACTCTGTTCACTTGCACCTCCATCCAGCGATCTAGGGTTTTGCTGGCGCACACGCTCCCCTTCACCCTCGAGTCACACATGGCCACCAGCATGTGGACTGTACTAGACCGCGATAGATCCAGCCATTTCTTGATGTCCTCCTTCAGCCACTTCACCACTGCCTGCACCTCTGGTGACAGCAGCTTGCCCCAGCCAGGAACATCGATCCCCTGGATCTTCTCCATTTGGTTCTGAAGCTCCCTCACTATGGGGATCACCTGGCTAAGGAGGGTATCACCAGAACTGAGGCTCACAGTGGCCTTAAGGAATGGCTTGAGGACCACCAAGATTTGGGAGATGGTATCCCACTCAACTTTGTTAAGAGGGCCACTGATCCCAATCTCCTCAAGCAAGGCCATCTCATAGGTGGCCTTCTGTTGCTTAACCAGCCTTTCGAGCATCAGGTATGTGGAATTCCACCGAGTCTCCACATCCTGCATAATTTTGTGCTGCGGGATGCTCATCTTGCCCCCCTTGATGCTCTGGTGGAAGTAGCCTACCACATTCCTGCATTTTGAAGTGAGCTAGCTGGTTGTGACAGCGCCATCACCGGCAGCCCTGTTCCCTTTCAAGGCATCCTTGACTATACGGTGTGCCACATAGCGGATGTCAACAAAGTTGGCATCATGGACTGCCTTGACCATATTGGCCCTGTTGTCGGTGACCATGAACCCACAGGTGAGCTCGTCCTGCCCAATGAGTCACCCCTGCACCATGCAGTTCATGGCCCCCATGATTACCATTGCCTTGTGGGACTCAACTATCACCCCCACTTGAAGGAGAGCCCAATGACAGCCCGATTGATCGCACCACTGCCCCGTGAGAGAGAGGTAGGCATGATCTCCACCCCAGCTGCTCCAGATGTCTGA